GCCCAGGTCACACACATTGACAGGCTGGTATTTTTCCATATTTGCCAAGCTCGTCAATTGGTTCCTTTCTTGCTGTGCCCCGACATAGCCACAGTAATCCATGCAACGGTCACCTCCAGGCTTGACTACTGCAACTCACTCTATGCTGGTCTACCCTTGAGACTGACCTGGAAACTCCAGCTGATCCAGAATGCAGTGGTGCAGGTCCTGATGGGAACGTCACAGATGGCGTTCAACCTGTCCTGCACCAGCTATACTAGCTTCCAGTGGAATACCAAGTCAGGTTCAAGGTTTTGGTATTGACCTTCAAGGCCTTGAGTGGTCTGGGACCTATGTATCTGTGGGATCATCTCCTCTGTTATGTCTTCAGGAGAGCTTTATGCTCTGCAGATAACAACCTGCTGGTGATCCCTGGTCCCAAAGATGTCCAGCTGTCCTTGACCAAGACCAGGGCCTTTTTGGTCCTGGCTTTGACCTGGTGAACTCTCTTCCTAATACCACCAGGGCCCTGTGGGATCTTATGCAATTCCACATTGCCTGTGTAATGTATGACTCCGACCGCGTGCGAGGCTGGTCTCCACGCGGTCATGAAAAACCTCTGAGCTTCGCTCCCAGGGACAATGGCCCTTGCGGATCCTATCCCGCACCAATCAGTGGGATAGGCTCCCGGCCGAGAGCCCATGGAACTCTCGGCTACTGTAAATAGCCTATCACTGGTGTGGGGGTGTTTGGGTGTGGGGATTGTTGCACATATAAGCCGACCTGCGAGCCGGGAAACTTGTCTTGTTCTTTCCTGAAATCACTAGTAAGTCTCAGTACTTTTCACTGGCAATGAAGATGGGATTCTACCTCCCATGAACAATGAGCATCGCATCGCAGCCGGTACCGAGACTACAGCACACCGCTCCACATCATGCCCCACTTCTCCGGTTGCCGATCCTCACACCATGCAGCGCTCCGCTGACTCAGAGCACAGCAACGCAACGCTCTCCGCTCCATCTGTTGCCGCCACGTGGAGTCGTTAAAGATGGCCGTTCCCCAGGAGAGCATCGTTGCATTCGACATCACCCACCCCACACAATGGGGCACATGGCTCGAGATTCTGGAGAACCACTTCGCCTGCCTTGGCAAAGCGGACGCTGGTATGAAGAACTGATCTCTGGCATCTGGAAAGCAGTTGTAATTCTGAGTGATCTTTAGCCCTCACCTGGAGATTGGCAACAATGGTTTCCCCCAACAGGCATTAAGGGGAAATGTATTTTACCTCAGAACACATTTTACCTCAGAACAGCAACAGCAAACTGTTTCGAATGTTAGAGACAAAGGCCAATGAGGCCGCATATGCAAACAACCTGTGTTCCGAGGCAAAGGCCAATCAGGCCACATATGCAAATGACCCTCTGTGTTCTGACTGGCTATGGGGGGAGAGGAACAGGAAACTGTTTAGAATGTTGGGAGGCAGGACTCAGGCAATGCAGCCAGTGGATAGGGAGACCCTCTGATTTGGGAGCATGTTGGAATGTTCAGGAGAGTCCATGACCAAAACGGAATTATATATAAGAAGAGATGGGGAAACCTTAACACAGATAAACTCAGAACTGAGTAAACAGACAGTGAAGAGCTTTAAATTCACCAAATGTTTATACCCCACAGTCTGAGCCAACCATTACACTATTTTCTGTAGAAAGGTGGTGTACTATGTAATCATCATCTAAACAGCTGTTATGTCTGTAAGCCCATACAACACACAAAGGAAGAAAAAAAATTAATTTTGAAGAATATTCTAAAAAATTTAGCTACATGCTAAATTCACAGTGTAAAATTCTAGCATGAAGGGAGCGGCAGAAGCACTGGCACTGAATTTTGAAATGCTTCCCTTGCAAAATTTAGTTAATAAATACGCAACACATCACCTGTGAATAGAATCCTATAAATGAGATTTCTATACATTTCTATAAGTGAGTATCCTATAAATCAACAGACACAACAAGTATCAGAGTTGGAAGTTAAAAAAAACCCTGAAATATTTGGGAACAGCATCTTGTGTAAGGCTGCTGATCACATAAAAATGTAAGCATTATTTCCCCAATAGGTGCATGAATATTGGGCAAATTGCATGTATTTAAGTATTTATACGTAACTGACTGCTTATAGTTGATGGAGGCCATTAGTATGAATCTGGTTATGCATTCCTGAAGCCCAACCCCAGCCTCCACCAGGTGAATTACCACAAGGACCAATGTTCAATCTATGCCTAAAGGATTAAAGTACTGTGGTGAAGCCATAACTTCCTTAATACTTAATCCAGCCTCACAGTATGCACTGTATAGGAGCCAAGAGGGAGAAAGGCGGCTGAAGACACCATTGTTTTCCTGCTCCTAGTTCTACCACGGCAGCCGTGAAAGACTTGGTTCCCTGGTTTGAGTCCAGTAGCATCTCAGAGACCCAACAAGATTTTGGGGGGTATAAGCAAAGGTAGAAGAGTTAGATTTGAATCTTGTAGTACCCTAGAGGGAGCTTTAACTCTCCAAAGCTTGTACCCCTGACATCTTGTTGGTCCGTAAAGTGCTACTGGTCTCACAGCTAGCTGTACCATCGTAGTCCAACGTGGCTCTCCTCTGAAACTTGTTTCCCTGAGAGGAAGAGCCAAGAAAGGGAAGGAACAGGGTGAAGGCATCATGCACCTCCTCCCCCAAGTCTGCTTATATGAAGTCCACTCTGAGCTTTCTCTTTGTTTTGGTAATATTTTATCTGCTTACGTTTTATTTTAAAATTGTTTTTCAGTACCCATGGGGGCAACTGAATTTTACATTTTAAAAAAGTTTTAAAATTTTTATCCATTTCCATTTCACATTGATATCAGTGGGAATCACATTTCTTGCTGTAACTTTTATGGCTGGCCATCCAGTATTGCCATGACATTTTCAACTATTCCACCCCTCGTCCAAAGGATACTCCCTGCCAAGTATCTAGCAGATGAGCCCCACTTTTTTGGGGGTAATTAAACAGACGATGTATTTTTTTATCTGTAACATTATGATACCCTTAAGTTGGGTGAAATGCTCAGGGATTGTACCCCTTCCTGCAATGACCCACCCTGACAGATTTCAGGCAGATAACAGGAATACTCAGTTTTATAAGGCAATTTGAATTGCACAGGCAGAGGTAAATAGCTGGCATCTCTACAGGATAATAGATACCACTTTGTTTCTTAAAAGGACAGTGTGCACTTTACAACTGGGCACTGGCACAAAGACTTGGAATCAGACGGTCAATGGGAGCTTTGTGCCTCCCCGACTCATATGAGCCTTTCCTCAGCATGACTAGGGCACACAGGCGGAAGCAGCAACTGTCTTCCCTCCATACTCTTCCTTCTTAAAGCGTCCCATGAAGCTACTACTTTGTGCACTGCAAAAACTTACGTGTAGCCACAGGATGCTTTAAGGAGGAGAAAACAAGACAGCTGCCACTTCTGCCTGTGAGGAAGAAAGGACTGCATGAGTCTGGGAAACACAAAACTCAAAAGGCCTCATGTCATTGTCTACCAAACATGAGCACTTGGTAACATATGAAGAGGCCAGCAGTTTTGTGTTGTGTGCTTAGCTGTGTCCAGAAGCTATCTTCCTTACGCCTACGAAACAAGGAGTCGTCCATTTGTGTAGTGCAGAAATCTACAAGTCAAAAATTCCTGCTAAACATATTGCAGCATTTATTAAATGTTAGTGTTTTAGTTTTTCCTATGGTAATGTTATGAAATATTAACGAATCACTGGCTGGAGTCAGTAATTACTGGCTGGAGTCAGTGTTATACAAACTCTGTTTTAATGGTGCTGACAACTGGACAGACCGTGAGACTTTCAAGTTATGTTAGGAAAAGAAAGATCAGGAAAGGAGTTGAAGATAGTGACTTCATAGGAAAATTTGAAAGGAAACTTTCCAAACCCAACCTTGGACTGGGAGAGGGAGGGAGAAAAATACTGGGATTTTTAGTGAACTGCTTCAGGCTACTCTAGAGAGTAGAACTGCCACATTAATACCAAAGGCTATGCTTACCATCTATAAATGCTCCAAGGCAGTGGAATAGGGTGCAGCCATTGCAGTGTCCAGTCTTCGGTCGAATCTGCATTTGCATTTTTAAATCAGTTTCATGCTGCTGTGATGTTGTCTTTCTCTATGCTTGTTTGAACATTGTTTGGAGAAGATTCTTTTAAAGCAGTGGGGAGGCGCAATGGCAGTGGAGCCGCCACGAAAGGGTGATAAACATATGCGGACATGCAAAAGTATGCTAGCACTGTTGAGGTGTGAAAACGAAACCAATTGTAGACAGCTTTTTTGAAGACGGAGTCAGAAGGCTGGGACACCGGTGGGAAAGACAAATGCAGATTCGACCTTCTCCTCTATTGTGCCTTCACCCACTCTACTTTTACATGCTGTAGGACAGTTAAGGGAGTCCTCCTGCCAGCAGAAGAGGCTCAACGATGGGATCCACCTTGGAGTTACAGTAGCTGCTTCTGTATTTTTAGAAGTGTAGGCTCATTTTTGGAGTGAAGGCTCCGCTATCCTACTTCTGTAGCCATCAATTCTACATTATGGCAACAAGACCCTGAGCATAATGACTAATTTGTGATGTGTTTAGAGCAGGGGTGTCAAACATGTGGCCAGCACTGAAACTGGCCCTCTCCTGCTTCCAGTTCTGCTGCTGCTGCTGCTGCATCACAGCTTGCTTCGCCAGACTCTCTTAATCACTCCGCCATTTCATGTCCCAACCTGGGTCCTAGACTCAGAACTTTGAGCATGAGATTTCTGTGGTGAATGTCAATAAATCAAAAGTAAGTTTGCAGCTTACGGAGCTAATGTTTTAAGTATGTTTTAATTTTAAGTTGAAAAAAATCTTTGTGTTTGTGTCCTTTATAAAGTTTATATCTCCGCTACCTGGCATTACATTTTATGACACACATGGCCCGATTGAACAAGGTCTCATTTATGTCAGATCTGGCCCTCATGACAAATGGGTTCGACACCCCTGGTTTAGAGGGTGCTAAATTGGAAATGGCAGGACACCAATGCATAAGTACAGGTGAACACTGGCTGTGACTGCTGCATTGCTAGTTCATGGGTATTTGGAACAGATTTTGAAATTATTTATTAACATTCATGCCATACTTTAAAGTATGGCTTTAAGCAAGCCAAGAAACGCACTCTCACACAGGAAGTCAATCCAGACTTATAACAGTATTCTCTTCCAATCTCACACTAGTGAAATTATGATGTTGCTCTTCCTGAATCCCAGAGACATCTTCTGATCACAGATTGCGGGATACTGCTAAGCCACTTAAATCATGTCCAGCTGCAAAAGAAAGCAACATTTTTGGCAAGAAGGCCATCAACTTCAAGCTAAGGCTTACACAGGACAGCTAGAGGTAATGTTTATTAATGGAAAAAATTAGGCAGCTTCTTCAAACTTAAGACAGACCTGTCTGTATATTTGACAAACAGCCTTCCCTGCTAAGCACACATGCCTTCAGGGTGGCTGTACCAATGCAGTGATTAGAGGGGGTTTCAGCCCTGCTCTGTAGTCATGTTGCCTTCAGGGTAGAGGGTTGGGCCCAGGGAGGGAGCACCCCCCACCCCCGTGCAGGTGTTCCTCCTGGCCTGGGCAGGGGAGTTGGCCCTGGCCAGGAATCAACTTTCCAGTGTGAGTGTTCCCTGGGCCCCAGGCTGGGTGGCAGGTTCTGCCCTGGTCGGTGATCCCATAGCCCTTTAAGGGTAAATGGACCTGGGGAAAGAGCACCACCCATCCCTGTCACCTTCCCAGGCAGGGTGGGAGGCTGAACCCCAACCAATCCTCATGTCAAAAGGGATGGGTGGTTGGCCCCAGGAAGACAGAGGCACCCGCAGCCGTGTGGGTTGTCCCCGGGGAGGTTTTCTGGGAGTTGGGTGCCTGTAGCTGAACCAGTTCTGCTCTGGACTGTCTGAAACCACCACTGGATCAGTCCTCCAGAAATAGTTTCCCGGGGGCACTGGTCTGGGGGGGTCTGCTACTCGGACCCCCCCAGACCCAACAGACATGTGACTTGTGGAGCATATGGAGGGCCACTCCAGGGACGGACTGTGCAAGTTGGAGGCCTCTAGCTCACCTAGGTCAGTTTTGGTTGCTCCCAAACCGGCGGGGGGAACGTCCCATTGAAAAGCATTGTCTCTTTGGGGGTCTGTAGCTCAGCCTCCCCAAAGTCCAAGAGGGACCAAACTTGGTGGGCATATCGAGGAGAGTGAGCTGGAATTATGCTGAGAATCTGCCCCCACCACCACCTGGGGGGTCTTTTCTGCATCCGGACCAATTCAAGAACCAGTTCGTGAACCGGCCGCAGTCCGGTTCAAGAACCAATCTGGGAATGGGGTCAGTTCAAAGTTTATACTTAAAGTTACAAGCAACAGAAATGTGGGACTGGGGAGATGTTACAAAGAGACTCCAGTTTGAAACAACAACCAAGCAAACAGAACAGTTCATTAAGAGTCGTTGAAGACCACTCATAACCAATGAAGATGGGCACAGCAGGATTAACATAAGCTGTAGTGTGAAACATAATAAGCAAAACTAATAATTAGCATCTTTAACGAGTGAGCCACATAATGAGTCAGTAATCCCAAGCCCTTATCGCGTCTTGGGGAGAAAGTTTTGATCTCTTAATGAATCCTACTTCAGTGCATTCATGTTGGACTCTCCATGTGAAACTTTTTTGCAGGAAGGAGTATAATAACCCTCCTACTGATTTGAAGGTTACTGTGCTTATTGGATTCTCTTCCTCTACAGAACATCACATGCACTTTTCTCTACCGAACTTTGTTCTCCCACCTCCAGGGGACCTGCCCCATCACTGATTTCCAAGTTAAAACTATGGGGAAAAAATGTTTTTTTACACATTAGAAGAGTGGCCTAAGGGCTGGATCTGATCCATGGGCTGTCCTGCCCTACAATATTAAAGTACGAAAAACCTCCCACTGGCATGGGTGTTGATGGCCCACATTTCATCCTCCTATGCAATCCAGTTGCTTCCCATAGCCATGAAAGATTTCTTTAAAGTACTTACAAGATCATCAACATCTCCACCTTCATCTGCCACTGGTGAAATTTCCATGGACTTTTCTTTGGGAGCAAGGAACTGCAAATAAAATTCATAATAATTCAAATCAAATACAACCTCTAGCAGGGTACTCTTCGAAAACAGCATTAAAAAGTACAGTGCTAGAGTTATATCAAGGGTCATCATCATTAAATTAAAAAGTACAGTGCTAGAGTTATATCAAGGGTCATCATCATTAACTTTATGCATTCAGTGTGTTCGGCAATATTATGTGTTTTTTAATGGGGAGGGAATAGACCATTGCATCAGTTGGTATGCATGCCTTAAGACAATCAATGAAGGATAATTTAGCCTATCATAAATAGCTATATTAAGCAAGCACTAACATCCAATAGGACCAAGTTCAGTCTAATTGTAAGGATGACATCTGGCCTTCATTGATAAGCAATGAAAGCTATTCTCAGAAAGAACCCATCTACTCTTTCCTTCGTCACTTGTGGATGAAGCACACCAGGCACTTTATCCTGCCAATGCTGAAAAAGGGAGAGCAAACGTGTATGGAGAGCTCCATGAGTGGATTGCAGCTATCTGACCTGATTCAATGATTTACCCCAATGTGCAAGATTCCATGTGATTTATTTTTGCACCACACATAAGATGTAGACACATCTGTTGCGGGGTGTGTGTGTGTGTGTGTTATTCGTCCAGTGCTTGGGAGTAGGAATCAGATCATTTAAGGCTTTATCTAAACATCTAAAGAAAGTGTCCCCAAGGTGGTCCCTGTGGGCTCATGGCAGCTACTGTGGCCTTTCCTGGAACCACCAAGTGTTTCGAGAAAGCAGGCAGGGCCAAGTGGGGCTTTTCTTCAGCAAGGCTTCTGATTGGCTGTGCAGATTTTTAAAATGTTGCTTTGGCAACAGCTGTCATCACAGCACAAGGATCTTCACTGGGTGACCAAAGGTAAGCTGCGGCAGCCATTTTGTGGCTGGCTCTGCCTTCAGCAGCAGCCATTTTGTGGCTTTGCCCACCAGACTGTATCATCATTCCAAAGGCTGTATTGTAATGTTTACTGCTTTGTGTTTTACTTTTTTCCGTATTGATTTTTGCTCAGGACCTTTGGTCAGAGGAGCATGACAATAAAGGAAAGGACAATAGAATATTAATGATGTTCCCATCCATATGTAAAGAACAGAAATTGGTGCAGGGAGAAGAGAGAACCTCACAACACTGGATATGAAATTGTATCTTCTTCAGTAATAGAAGGTCTGAGTGCCGGATATAGTTTCATTAAACATAAATCTCATCAGATAACACAAACAATTAAAACCAAACTCAGTGGCACATGAAGAATGTAGGGATAAAAATAGCCGACAGGCTATTGTTCTGTCACAAAAAACATTCTTGCCAAGAAATACTACGATTTCTAAAATTTGGGAAGAAAAACTATCTGGGCAACTAATAAAAACACTAGTTTTTAATCAGAGTTCTTACTGTCTTATATAAAAACACTCTAATAATTATTTTTCTTTTTATAAATGCTATTCTCTAAGCAACGCAAGTAAGGGTAACAAACAAATCAGACACTCATTACATGTATTTATTTTGATACTTATACTCTCCTTTTCTCCCCAAAAGACACTCAAGGCAGCTTACAACACTAGAATCATAGAATGACAGAGTCGGAAGGGGCCCTACAGGCCATCTGGTCCAACCCCCTGCTCAATGCAGGATCAGCCTGACAAGGGTTTCTCCAGCCGCTGCTTAAAGGCTGCCAGGGAGGGGGAGCTCACCAGCTTCCTAGGCAGCCGATTCCACTGTTGCACAACTCATTGTTCTCCTCTCCTCCATTTTATCCTCACATCAACTATTCTGTGAGGCAGGTTAAGCTGAGACAGACTGACTGGCCCATGGTCACTCGGTGAGTGGACATCTGAACCTGGGTCTCCCAAAGTCTAGTCTGGTACTTGTCAGCTATAGCTGCCATAAGTGTATATGTGTTTCTAATTGCTTTGCATTCCTTCCCATGCGTTTAATTGCTTCTGTGCTGTAACAGGTATCTCTCAAGGTCACTGGAGGAGTTGGTGTGTCTAGGTTTTGTGGGAAGCTTTCGACTTTCCCTGCTTTCCCAGCTTTGCAGCCGTTAGAGAATCTGCCAAATGCCGCGCGCGGGAGCCCATCTAATTGGGTAGCTGTTTTGGGGGGGGGGGCATACGAATGCCCTATATCCTACTATGCGCATAGGTAACCCGCCATTCCTAACAGTGTTCATGTTACTGCATCTATGGCTTTTCAATAAAAGTAAAACCTTCCTAGAAGCGTGTACTTCATTGTCTTGCTGTGGATCCTGACAGTACTCTAACCACTATACTACACTGGCTACACAAGTGTTATGAAATATAACGGCTGCATTTGACCATACACAAATTGATTCCTCATACATTTTATTATGGCCTTTGGCACCCATCACAACCTGGGAGTGGTCTTTCACCCATCTCATTCTAAACCATTAATGTATCATACAAAATCCACAGAACAGAAGAATGTATGTTGTTTTTTTACTCCCTCCAAAAGGCCACCAAGTTCACTTAAACTTCCAGCTCAATATGAACAGGAAATTAATTTAGCAGACAAGTACTACTTTCACCCTAGCCTGCAAAATAAGGAAAATCAAACTGCATTTTGGTTACCATTTTACCATCCAATGGCTGCAAGGGAACACTGTAATATAGCTTATGCGTAATGGTTAACTTAAAGTTGCTTGGATATTGTGGTTTGCAAAGGTTATTGAGCAGAGAAGATTGCACAGTCCCAACACATGCCTATATCTGACTTCCCAATCATTATGGATGTAATACTATTATAATACATGTGATATTGAAGTAAAAGGAAGTTGTTAATTTTTTCCCCACTGGAAGAAATCCCATTTTACATAGTTAATGACGTAGATTAGGCAGCTGGTTCCCTATCGCTCCCTCCAGGACTTGACTACAGTGACCCATGCAATGGTCACTTCCAAGCCTGATTACTGTAACTTGCTTTTCTATACTATAACTTGCTACCCCTGAAGCTGACCCAGAAACTCCAGCTAGTTCAAAATGCGGTGCCGTGCCTGGTGACTGCGATTTCTGTGTGGGCATGCATTCAGCCGGTGCTACGCCAATTGCACTGGCTACCGATCGAGTACTGGATTACTTTCAAGGTGTTGGTATTGACCTTTAAAGCCCTATGCGGCCTGGGACTGACGTTTCTGAGGGACTGCCTCTCCCCATATGTGCCCCAGAGAGCCTTACACTCGGTGGACCAGCATTTGCTGGTTGTCCCCAGCCCAAAGGGCATCCGCTTCGCTTTGAGAAGGAGCAGGGCCTCTTCTGCCCTTCGCCCTGGTTTTAATGTGCTCTCATCTGAGATCAGGGCCCTGCAGGACCGACTGCAGTTCTGCAGGGCCTGTAAAACGGAGCTCTTCCGCCAGGCCTCTGGGTGAGGCAGCGGGCGCCCAGCTACTCGGCCCCTCTTGCTGAAGCTCTCCGTCTTTATACAGTACAGACTAAGAAGATCTACCGTTTCTGGGCTACGGCTGAGCTGTTCCAGTCATTTGAGACCATTACACTTCTGTATTAATAGTGCTACCTTTTTTAAATTATGTGTTTTTGTTTCATTGTTTTAACTGATTATTATGACTTTTTAAAATGATTGTAAAATTGTTGTTGTGATCTGCCCTGAGAGCCCGCTTGTGGGGAGGGCAGAATATAAGTTGAATGAATGAATGAATGAATTGTTCTTTCTGAAAGTTACATATTTCCTCAGAGGTCCCCAAAGTGGCATCTGGTGCTAAATTAGATGTAAACACATCAGAGTCTTGAAGACACTGGAGATGAAGAATTGCTTGGCAGCAGAATGAGGCTTTTTTATTTCCTACCAAGAAACTGCTGCACATCAGCAGTTGATTTTTCCCCTTCCTTTCCTGACAAGATCTGTTCTACATTTCTGCAGAAGCAAAATTATACACATATCTGTTGTGCCAAAATCTATTACCTTCCTCAAAACAATGACAGAATGCACCTGGCAGGTCTGTTCTTTTAACACCATCTCTCTCTGTGCTTTCCCCATCTACACTGCCTTTGAGTGAATGATTTTCTGAATGAAAGCGATTAAGAAAGAAAGGTCTAGAACTTGCAGCAAACTGAGGTGGGAATGATATGGCAGAAGGGAACATACCACTTCAGACTGCAAGCATGGAATCTAATTTTTTTTAATGCTCCCATATATAAAAAGCATACAGTAAGCTAACATACATACAAAGGGAGGATGTTTTAGTATGTCCTTCTTGCTAATGCACTAATATTTTCTTTTGCTTTCTAGGTGTTTTAAAAAATATCATGGACTATTCAAACAATTATCCCTCACAACTGCAGCCTCCTGCAATATCATTAGGTCTAGAAGGAAGGCAAGAAAAGAGGCAAGGCTTTCTTCCAAACAAAAACAATAAAGTGCTGGCCTTGAACTGAAGAAGAATTTTTACTTCTATGTCTCCCTATCAATCCCCAGAAGCAACAGCGTTACAATTTGCTACTTTCCTATGGTGAGCAGAGCATTTGAGTAGCAAATACACGGAGGAACAGGATGGTGTTAGACACAACACCCCATCACCCTGTTTTCCCACTTGAGATACCAATTTTTTTAAGGACAGACAAGGGAGAAATCAAGCTGCATGTATAGTTAACATGAAAGAGAGAGACAGCATGTGCACACAGACTTATGGCTATGCTGGATTTTAATGGAGGTTTTACATCATATTGATGCATTTAGTGTATTTTCATGCTTGTTTAAAAAAGACATTTTAACAGTATCATTTTATGGCTGTAAACTACATCAGAAGCAGTATGCTGAGAGGAAGCCTGAAAATATTTTAAGTAAATAAGGTCTGCAAAGGATGCGTTCGAGTCTGTCTTTGGGAAATGCCACGGTATGTCGTGTTTCATAACACACTCTCAATTTTCTTTTAATTGTTAAATTGTAACAATTAAGGGCTTATGGTTATATTATGGTTGTCACTTGAAGGTAGGATTAATTCTTCTGTGTAGTGGGTTTTATATTATCAGACTTGTATGGATGAGTTTACCTCATGATTGTGGCATATTATAAAAATAAAGATTAATTACTAATAGGGATGGGCACACACTGGTTCAAGGGCCAAAATCTGGCGCGAACATGGCCTGGTTTGTAGTCCCCGAACTGACGTTTGGGGAAGGTGTCTTCCCCGAACATTTACAGGACTTTTGTTCTGTTTGGTTTGGCTGTTCAGACTATTTCAGCCTAACAGCAGACGGGAGCACAGCTGTGAGCCACTGAGCCCATCCATTTCAACCCCCCCCCCCTTCAAAGCAGGAGGAAACGAAACAGAGGGGTTAAATGGCTGCCAGACACTTAACTCTTTCTAAGCAATCTCCCCCTTTCTCCTGGCTGTGGCTACTTTGGTTTGGGCCCACCCTGAACTGGAATTTTTGAGTTCATGTCCATCCCTAATTACTGATGAGGTGAAAACACCCCAACTTGTATTGCCACCTGGGAGCCTCCTCACAAAACCCTTTGATCATGTAAACTAGGCCTTGGTTTAGGACATCTTTAAGAAGATCATTTTTTCCAATCCTGTTTACTATTTCTTATGCTTCCAGTACAGTTCTGTATTTAAGTGTGTTAATCTAGTAATGGTCTTCCCCCTTTCCAGAGGTGGGACCCATCATTAGCCTCGAGGTGGTAGCATGGGAACCGCAGAGATGGAAATACACGGTAGGAAGTAACACAACATCAGTCATATGATAGGAACAGGAGGAGACAGAGTTATACCCTCACTGGTGAGGAGAGGGCTCCACATTGCAAGTGCACACTGGAGGAGCAACTGATATGAGTAGCTGGCCAGGAAGGGGGAGAACACAAAGGGAAACAGAGGAGCTTGTGTTGGGAGGGCCATGAAACCTGTCCTAGCTAGAATTGGTTTCTCTTCACCAATGAGTGTTCTTGCCGCGCTGTCCTGTTCCTCTCAGTATGTGCAAAGAGAGGCAGGAAACATAGTGCCCTTGCTCTCAACACATGGGCACTAGCAAAAGCTCCGAACAAAAGGGAGGGGGCTGGCTGTTATATAGGGCCTTGTGACCTGGCAGGTAGGGCTATGCAACCCATCTAAGGATCACAACCTATGGACTGAAGATCACTGTACAACATGTTTAATAGGTAAGAGAGGGGAGTTTGTTCTAATGAAATATTTGAAGTCAAAGTTTGCCAGAGTTAAGGAATGTAGGTTAGCAGGTTGGCTTATGATCCTCAATTTCATCCTATACGTGGTGATCTCCAGTTTAACAGAAAGAGAAGGGAAGGGGATCATGTGGACCCATGGGATATCTTAGAATGGTGACAAATTAGGTGCCATAAGATGCATCTGTATCAATATATTCCTGTATTCAGATTGCACCAAACTGAAAGCATAGAAAACATTGTTTGATTAAATTCTGGTTTAGCGTTGTGTCTGAATGCAAGCTGTCCAACAAACTATATTGTGTTGAAACTAGGGCTCTAAGCCATGGTTTGCATCTACCTTCTGGTTCTCACTAACTGTAGTTACGTTTTTTGAATGTGGAAATTCTACTTTCTTTAATAGCACTGCTCCTCTCATCCTCCCGCTGAGATCTGCTTCAGCTACCAAGTCTCAGCAGGTCCTTGTTCCTTCTCACTTGCTGCCAGTTCTCTGTGTCTCTTTTCCATCATAAAAGAACTTGGGATACCCAGTGAAATTGATGGGATGGGCAAAAAAAAAGCGGCAGACCCGGTCCCGGCGGACCCCCCGGCATCGGCTGTTGCACAGGCCCTTGCTGAGGCGGTCCCGCCGGCGGCTGGACAGGCACCTGCGGCGCGGGAACTCCCGGTACTTGCAGCGGAGGTCCCGTCGGCGGCTGAGCAGGCACCTGCGGTGCGGGAACTCCCGGTGCAGGGACAACTTGTTGCTGCGCGGCGTGTGCGTCAAGGAAATTAGCCATTCTAACGTCCATCATTCCCGGCAGAGCTTCCATTACATCCTGGAATGTCCTCAACAAGTCCCTCACCGAGTATTCCAGTTCTGCCAGTCGTTCCCCGGTGGTTTCCTCCGGGATGGGGTCCCGAGGTCGATAGTCCGGGGGTGGGTCATAGTCCTCTTCCGTTTGGAAGGCTCCGGTGCCCTCCTCATCCTCTGCGTGGCCTCGCGGCCCCGATGGCTCGAACATCCACTCCTCGAGGTCTTGCTTGGAACTCCCCTTCTCCGAGGTAGTCCCCGGCTCCGGGAACAATCCCTTGTCAAACAGACTCTCACGTAATCCGCTCCCCCGACGGGAGTACACCTCTCGGGTGCCCTGAGTGTTGTACATAGTCCAGTCATCCTGCTGTTGAGTCTTCCGCGGACCCCAGTGCGAAGGGGTCGGAGGCGGCCAAGACAGATGTGCAGGCAGGCGGGGAATCGTTCCCCCCATGGCACCCTCCACCGAGGCTGCAGTCGTGAACACCAAAGGAGCGGAGGTATGTGGGACCGATCCTGAGTCCCCCTCCGTGTTAAGTAGATTTCCCTCAGTTCCGCTCATGATCTTGCCAGATTCGGAACGATAGGAGAAAGAGAGTTCTAACAATATGTTGGATCCCCAAGCATCGAGAATAAATCCACGTTTTCAAGAAAAGCAAAATTTATTTCAAAGCGTTGAAGACATACTCAAACACGTTCTTTGTTAGAACTGGGGATACACAGTTAGGTCAAGCATAATAAAGGAAATTCAAACAGATACAGATCCAATGAATAGCATTCCCGCTGGCGGGCTAATGAAACGGTTGCGCGCCCAGTCCATGGGAACCAGGCAGAACATCAGACAAAACACAGGTGCAGTACTCATGAGAAAAGCAATAGGCAAGCATTACAGCATCTTCTCCCCCACACAACCTCCAGCAGTTATCTTGTGCATTCCAACGCAGGAGCAGGATGATAGAAAACAAGCCGGGTGCAACAGGGAAAGGATATGTACACAGAGGTCACAGAAAACAGAATGGCAGCTTGCTGACAGGGTCACAACCTATGGGCTGAAGATCACTGTACAACATGTCTAATAGGTAAGAGAGGGGAGTTTGTTCTAATGAAATATTTGAAGTCAAAGTTTGCCAGAGTTAAGGAATGTAAGTTAGCAGGTTGGCTTATGATCCTCAATTTCATCCCATACGTGGTGATCTCCAGTTTAACAGAAAGAGAAGGGAAGGGGATCATGTGGACCCATGTAATAGGTAAGAGAGGGGAGTTTGTTCTAATGAAATATTTGAAGTCAAAGTTTGCCAGAGTTAAGGAATGTAAGTTAGCAGGTTGGCTTATGATCCTCAATTTCATCCCATACGTGGTGATCTCCAGTTTAACAGAAAGAGAAGGGAAGGGGATCATGTGGACCCATGGGATATCTTAGAATGGTGACAAATTAGGTGTTTTGCATAGCAATCAAGGTGCCATACGGATATCTTAGAATGGTGACAAATTAGGTGCCATAAGATGCATCTGTATCAATATATTCCTGTATTCAGATTGCACCAAACTGAAAGCATAGAAAACATTGTTTGATTAAATTCTGGTTTAGCGTTGTGTCTGAATGCAAGCTGTCCAACAAACTATATTGTGTTGAAACTAGGGCTCTAAGCCATGGTTTGCATCTACCTTCTGGTTCTCACTAACTGTAGTTACGTTTTTTGAATGTGGAAATTCTACTTTCTTTAATAGCACTGCTCCTCTCATCCTCCCGCTGAGATCTGCTTCAGCTACCAAGTCTCAGCAGGTCCTTGTTCCTTCTCACTTGCTGCCAGTTCTCTGTGTCTCTCTTCCGTCATAAAAGAACTTGGGATACCCAATGAAATTGATGGGATGGGCAAAAAAAAATTTTTTTTTAAATGTAGAATTCACTATCAGTGGGACTCATGTATCTTCGAGACCGCCTCTCCAGGTATACCCCCCAAAGAGCACTATGCTCCACAGAAAAGAACTTACTTGCGGTTCCCAGCCTGAGAGACATCTGGCTGCCCTTGACTGGGGCCAGGGCTTTTAGTGCCCTAGCCCCAACCTGGTGGAACTCTCTGCCAAGTAACACCCATGCCCTGCGGGACTTAACGTGGTTCTGCAGGGCCTGTAAGGCAGAGATGTCCTGCCAGGTTTTTGGGTTGAGGACACTGACAGCATCCATCTGGCTGGACCGCTTACCTCTTACCACGTGATCCCCCCCCCCCCCCCGCGTAGGGCAGTGGCACAATGAGCAGCCCTTGGTGCCATCTAATTAAGTTGCTTACTGTGATTTTATTGTATTATTAATGTTTTAATCTTAATTTAGCATGATTATTTAGTATGATTATGGTTGTTTTATTTATCATTGTACACCACCCTGACCCCTGTTTACAGGGAAGGGCAGTATAAAAACTGAACGTCTGAGTGTTGTCGGAAGTTCTGAGTCTGTTGAAAGCCTTACTCCCATCCCACAAGCAGAAGGTTCCTGACCTTAAAAAACTACTCTAATACCAGTACCTCTTTGGCGTCTTCCACTGTCACAGAGCTTCCTTCAGCTTCTTCTTCGGTAATCAAGGAGATGCCATCTAAGAATTGCCAGATTACACAGTATCACCATTTCATAAATTTTCTCTTCATGTTAGGCATGGAATGGAATTGACCAGAGTTCTATGGCCTTAAAACAGCATAAGAGCTTTTTTGAGGACACCACTAAGTACCATGATATAAGTAACACACCCCTTAATGTAAGATGTTATAATCTATCAGATAGTCTTCCTCTCCTAGCAGTTACTCCAAACAGCCTGACTGATTCAGAAGACTGAACTATCTCAAACTGGAACTTAATGGCTTCTAAAGAAACGCAGACTTCTTTAAGTCTACACACTAGCATATACATACACAAGTTATAAACATTCCACAGCCCAGGGATTTTTTTAAAAATTAAAAAACTGTAAGAAATATTTTCTGAACCAACCGAGTGTACACAGAATCCTTAAGACACAAAACTCTGTTACTGAGAACAAATGTTCAAAATATTATGCAGCTAGAATTATGCTGACCTAGCTAAATGCGCAGAAAAAAAGAACAAGACTGGAGGTTAGCAGTTGCTATGTTAATTATTTCACAGATAGGGTTCTTGTAGAGAAAAAATTAAATTACAATGGCCTTCCTGAGGCAATGCATACAGTGTGAAATGTGCAACCTCAGGGTATATAGTAACTATTTCCAGTGAGCTATTTCCATACAGTTTCACAGAACCTTTGGGAATTTCTTGTCTTTTTCTCTTCAGTAATAGCAGTATTTCTAGACTTAAACAAATTGATTCCATCCCCAAGTTGGAAATCTTGACGTAGTTACACAAAAGAAGAAAAAGAGGTTGGAATTATACCCCGCCCTTCACTACCCAAAGGTGTCTCAGAGCGGCTTACAAACTCCTTTCCCTTCCCCTCCCCACAGCAGACACTCTGTGAGGTAGGTGGTGCTGAGAGAGCTCTTGACAGAAACTGCTCTTTTTCAAGGACAGCTCTTATCAGAACTACGGCTTGCCTAAGGTCGTCCAGCCAGGTGCAAGTGAAGGAGTGGGGAATCAAACCCGGTTCTCCCAGATTAGAGTCCGCGCACTTAACCACTACACCAAACTGGCTCTCAAAAACTGTTGAAGGTGGTTGACGTGCCCAGCTCTTGCTAACAAATGGCATAATAATCAAATTAAAAGGTAAGTTGCCACCTAGGTAGCGTTATTCTTGGCTTTGTGGAATAACTGAGCAAACAACAGACAGTCAAATATTTGCCCAGTATGCTACCCGGTAGGAGTGTGCAAGGAAAACAATATATTTTTTTTACGGATTTGGGTATAAAAGAGCCAAATTCATTCGGCATTCTGGAATATTCGTGAATACCAGTATTGGCATTGTATTTGGATTCGGGAAATATTCGGTAATACCAATATATTTGGCACCATTATACCCTATGGGGCCATTATACTCAATACTCTTAAAGTATATTCAGTGGGCTGGGGGAGAGGGAATTTGAGGTAGAAGCACCAGATTTTCAGTGTAGCTGCTGAAGCCTCTCCCCAAAAGAACTTCCAAGGTTAAAAAAGATTGGACCAGGGGGTCCGATTCTATGGGCACCCAAAGAAGGTGCTCCCTTCGTCCATTGTTTCCAATGGGGGAAAATAGCAAGGCAATACAAGCTCAGAAGAATGTCCCAAAGAATCTCTGCAGTAGAACGTGAAGTGTGTCTAAGGGGGCGGGGGGGGGGGGATGTCTGCAAGGCCAGCAGCAGAACCAGTGCAATGTGACCAGCAGAACCAGTGCTACTGTGGCAGTGCCCAAATCCAACAGGACTAAGGTCATATCTGAGAACCTCTGAAGTGAGGGGGAGCATTTCTGCAAGGACAGCAGAACCAGTGCAATGTACTAGTGTTCAGCAGCAGAACCCAGTGCCAACCTACTAAAGCCCAGCAGTACAAGCCAGTGCCATTGTGGCAAATGCCAGGACAGCTCAACAGGACCAATTTCAAGCACAGTATCCAAGCAAGGGGAGGAGGTTGCAGGACAGCGGAACCAGCGCAGTAGTGACTGCCCAGCAGCAGACCCAGTGCCAACCTACTAGTGCCCAGCAGCAGCACCCTGTGGCATTGTGGCAAATGCCAGCTTAACAGGACTGATGTCAAGCACAGAATCACAATCCAAGTGTGTGTGTGTGTGGGGGGGGCTGTAGGACAGCAGAACTCAGGGCCAATTTACTAGTGCCCAGCAGCAGAACCCAGAGCTATTGTGGCAAATGGCAGTTCAACACTACTGGGCTTCTGCATACTGGGCTGGCCTTGGTTCAGGTGGGCTAGCAAAAGTGTCTGCCCATCTTGCACTTTTGAGTGTTCTGCTGGGCTTCTACCAAAAATCTTTTTAAACCCCCCCCCCGCTGGGATTCTCTGGTGTGACATTGGTTAGTTCTGTAGCTGCCACATTGGCACTGGGTTCTGCTGCTGGGCACTAGTATGTTGGCACTGGTTTCTTCTGCTGGACACTAGTAGGTGGGTTCTGCTGCTGGGCACTAGTACATTGCAGTGGTTCTGCTGCCCTTGCAGAAATCCCCCCCTCCAGTTTCTAGTTCAGAGATTCTCGGATTTGACCTTAGTCCTTTTGGTTTTGGCACTGCCACAATGGCACTGGTTCTGCTGGTCACATTGCACTGGTTCTGCTGCTGGCCTTGCAGACATGCCCCCCCTTCCCTTTCTACTGCAGAGATTCTCTGGGACATTCTGCTGGGCTTGTATTGCCTTGCTCTTCCCGCCCCCATTGGAAACAATGGAGGATGGGGGTACCCTCTTTGGGTGCCGATAGAATTGGACCCCCTAGTCCAATCTTTTTGAAACTTTGGGGTCCTTTTGGGGAGAGGCTCCAGCAGCTATGCTGCAAATTTGGTGCCTCTACCTCACCCCCCCCCGACCACTGCATATACCCTAAGAGATTTGGCATTGACTATAATGGCCCCATAGGGTATAATGGAGCCGAATAATAGCTGAATAAAGGTAAATAGTCTTCGGGAATCTCTATTTGGCTACTGAATAGATGCTCTGATTTGGTATCTGGCTTAATAAATACCTGAAAAATGCCAAAAAGGCATTATTCAGATATTTATTCGGCTCAGTAAATACTGAATGCACACCCCTACTACCTAGTCGGAGCATGAGAATAGGGCTGAATATGTGTGAGGAAAGGGAGTTGTGAGTGACTGAAGGGCTAGGTAAGTAACTAAGACAGCAACCCAGGCATATTAGCTGAAGTGCTCTGGCCTTTCCCATGTGATTCAGACACAACACCATCCTTTTAAATCTTCTATGCTCAGAGATCTCCATTTAATATAATGTACTGATTTGGAGCAGAGTTTGCATGCAACATACGATGGCAAAGAGAACTGAGTAATATACTTTTTAAAAATATATTAAAAATACGCTCCAGATTGTCATAGGCAAGCAGTACAGCACTAGTTTTGCTGGAGAGAAGTGGGATTTTCCTCACAGAATTTATGGTTGGCCTGAAAACTTTAACCTTTTCCTTCACACCATGCGCCTCTAAGAAGGTTTGACATACCTTGTATTATGATTTCCCAGAAATCAGGTAAGTTTTTATCTTCCACCTGTTTTTTCAAGGCTTCCAGAAAATCATTAAAGCACTGCACTTGTGACAGCTGAAACAAACAGTGACAGAAAAGAAACAACACAGAGAAATAAAAGTTAGCTTGACACTAAAGTGACACAGAATTCTCAATTCCTCACAACAGTCTGCCTGAAGAGAAATGGGGGAGGAAATGCCTTTTCAAACCCCTGCACATTCACCTGTCTCACATAGAATCAATCTTCTAATGTGCTGTGAGTCACTCAAGAGACGACAGTTCACAAAGAAGAGCTGTCTTCTTTGTGATTTGCTTTAAGAAGTTATTTAGGGATAGCACAGCCTCCTTTTTGTCTAACAGGTCACAGATATTGTCTTTCCACACCAGAAAGAAACCCCAGTAGAACCTACTCTATATACTCTGAATGGGCTAAAAGACCAAAATATATAACACTCAGACACTTTTAAAATCTCTAGCTAGCACACCAATAACAGTTTTCTTCTATGTATGCTTTGATACAAGCTTGACTTCTAGTCTCACATGTTTTTCAATTCTAGGGAGGGGGCATGTCAAATCCCAACGTGCAGCACTGACTATCTTTCTAATCAGAGTTACCTTAACAGCCTCCTCTCTGAAAACGTTTATGCAATTAATGCTCTTCATATAGTATGGTACTCCTCTGTTTTCCAAAAACTGGTGAATGTGGTTTATCAGCTGCTGACTGACTGGAGATTGGGGGGGAGGGGGGAAGGAAGCACACACAAATTAGAGGAATTATCCAGTAGGTATGATCAATGCCCATCTTCTGCAAACTGAATGATGTACTACAACATTGCTTAAACCCCCCCCCCCCACATTGGACGTGTGTGTGGGAGCTGTGGCTTCATAACAGCAACAGCTTCTCCTCTACCAACACTACTGTGTGCCATCGTTTTAGGTTAGTTTCTATACACAATGGATTGTTTGATGTGGTTGGGGTGGTAGCTGGAGGCATGCAACTCCTCACCCGCAATGATATCTTTCAAAGGAATTTCAAAGGGAATTTAGAAAGAAAGACTGATGAATTGCAACTGATAACGAAGCTCAAGACAATGCACTCAACTGGATTGAATCGAGACGTAGGTTTCCTGTCTCATTACCAATGCTGCTTTCTCCATGCCTACTACCTCTCTGCATATCGCACCTTCTCCAATCACACCGTCTATTGTCATTTGCCTGCTAATGTCATTCATTTGGCATCTGAAATCACTCCACTTTCTAATACATAGGATGGATGGAAGAAGAAGTGAGCAGTGACTCACAAAAGCTCATACCCTATCACTCAGCTTTTTAAAATTTAGTAATTCATTAAAAAAATAATCTTATGGGTTCTAGCAAAGGGTCTTGTTCCTTTATGGACCTCTGAGTGCTCTCCTTCTGTGCCAATCTTGCCAATTCCATTTTAATACATTTTATTTTGTGGTTGGAGATGGGGCTTTTTCAGATGGTATTTTCCTCCATCATCCCCATGGCATGATGAAATCAGATTCGCATTTTCAATAGCACAAAGGACTTGAGAACACAGAAGACAGAAGAATGGAAAGTGTCTGATAGAGCGTTTTTATTAATTAAGTAATTGGATATAAGCATATAATGTAACTGTACTCTTGGTATATATGTTATGTGCAGTAGAGTGTCTGTTTGTAGTGTGTAGATTTGTTTGTTGTAGATTATAAAAGAAAAATTAATAAAAGTGTACCTTTTGAGTACTTATATAAAAAAAAAAGATTTGCATTTTCCTTCTGCAACCCTTAGAACTCCACACAGAGGATAATTCCCAAACCAGGAAATCATCTGTTCAGGATCACAGCGTGCTCCCAACAGAGGATAATTCCCAAACCAGGAAATCATCAGGATCACAGCGTGCTCCCAATAGGTAAACTGACGTTAAGTTTCACTCACTCCAAAGTACAACAAGCCTTTACATTCCTATTCCATATTTTTCTCTTCAGGAGCGAGAACTATCAGGCCACAGGCCACTGAAACCATGTGACTCAGCGCAGTAGATTTGTCCACATCATTCCCTTGGTTATGACACGTTAGGAAAAGCATGGTGCTCCTGGCTCTAGAAGGGAATATTTGTATACTGTCTCAACTGGAATGATTTCTCACCTATGGACATATTTAATTGGTTACTCATATTTACAAGTGGCTGAAGACCTGCTCAGAGGAATTTGAGGCTTCTTTTCACAATGTTACTCGTGCTATTACAATACTTTTGGTATAGTACTCAAAGTGCCTGTCTTTGAACTATGCACAGTAGATATGCAGAATATAAATAAATGGGAAATAAAACATGTCCAGCACATTAAAAGCAGGTTATGATTGAATCTGAAACTCTAAATGCATTATCTTCTCGCTTGCAAAAACCAGGAGATGATCCCAAGAATAAATCTTCAGGTTTGAGGGTCCCATGGTCAAAGCCACATGAGCAGACCACATGAGCAACATACCAACATGCCTCATTCTGGACCTAGAAATACTACTTCTCTACAATCACACAGAAATAATCATGGCAGAAAATTGGTTGATCTAGAAAATATGATTTAGTGATTTTTTCCCCCCAGCTCAGCATTCTGAATCTCACAGGAACTTTCAAATGTAACTTTAAAAAACAGAGCTATTTACCTTCCTTGAAGTTAACATTTTTCTGCCTCACCAGATCTCTGAAGTTTTCTGCTGGATTAACACTTCCAACCTACAAAATAATCCAGACAGTATTACATCAACCACTGCGCTTGTTGCTCCTATTTTAAAGCAAAGTTGGAACTTGTTGGCTTTTTTTGCTCTCTTATGGAATCCATTAGGTCTTGAGGTACTCATTAAACTGAATGAGGTGAATTAATTTATTTACAGGTTTATACCCTGATTTCTCTCCAACAGGGACCCAAAAAGGCTTATAACAACATCCCCCCCTCCTCCATTTTATCCTTACAAACACCACCTCGTGATAGAGGTTAAGCTGAGAGAGCCAGCAAGCTTCTGTGACAGAGTGGGGATTCAAACTTGGGTCTTCCAAGCTGTAGTCTGAGACTGTAACCATTATACCATGGTGACTCACAAACCACATAATACACAATTTAGGGGGTGCAGTTTTGTTAGTTGAATAAAAAAAAAACACTTAAAAAGAGAAAAAGCTCCTGAGTTAAGAACAGGCTGCAAACTTTGAAACCACTATAGACAGTAACAGTTCTTGCTTCAGTATATTAAAATGAAAGTGCCTTCTCCACTGATTTAACTGCTGAGTTGTAACACACTGCACTTTAAAAGCACATTTCATAGTGCAGATAAATCAGATAGCCGGGAAGTAAAGAGTTAACTTTTCCCTGGAATTGAGAGCTTGAGTGATAGGCTGCTTATCTTCTCTGATGGGCTGAAGGGAGAGTCAGTTCAGTTTGGAGCTGTTCTGTCCGAAGGCAGTCAGTTTCTGTCAGAGTTTGGAGTCAGTGTGTCTGATAGGAAAAGTCAGATGGGTTTATCTACTGAGTGAAGGAAAAAGACTCCTTGCCTTAACTGTTATACTTATAACCTGAGGAGGAATTCATAATAACATAAGAGAAGACAATGCTGGATCAGGCCAATGGCCCATCTAGTCCAACACTCTGTCCCACAGTGGCCAAAAATACCAGGTGCCATCAGGAGGTCCACCAGTGGGGCCAGGACACTAGGAGCACTCACACTGTTGCGCCCCCCCCAAGCACCAAGAATACAGAGCATCACTTGCCCCAGTCTGAGAGTTCCTATCTATACCTTGTGGCTAATAGCCACTGATGGACTTCTGCTCCATATGTTTATCTAATTCCTTCTTGAAGCCATCCACGCTTGTAGCCACCACCACCTTCTGTGGCAGTGAATGCCATGTGTTAATCACTCTTTGGGTGAAGAAGTACTTCCTTTTATCTGTTCTAACCCAAGAGAGGTAGGGGGAGACAGGAGGAAGCAAAGGTGTGAGGAATAGGATAACCATCCCGCAAGTTTCTTGCGGGTCTCCACTTGTCTATATACTAATGGCAAAAGGCGCCCCCTGCGTGCGGATATCTAAAACCGCACATCGGGGGCACCTGGGGGGGGGGGGCAAAGAGATTTTCCTGCACATTTGGGGCAATCCCCAGATATGCAGAAAAATCTAAAAAGTTGAAAAAAGTATACGGGGGATATTTAAATGCCCCCCAAAGTACAAGAGTGTTCCCTGCGCATGAGCAGAGAATGCTCCGGCAACTGTCCCGTCCCCGCTGCTGGGACAGGAGGGGGTGGGAAAAGGCTTGGTGGGCCGATGGCTGTGAGCCGCCACTGGGGGGCAGGGAGAAGGCTTGGCGGGCTGGCAGCTGGGAGCCGCACGGGCCTTGCTGCCAGCGGGGAGGGGGGAAAGAGAAGGCTTGGCAGGTGCCGAGGAGGAGGAGGGAGAAGGCTTGGAGGGCGAGGCAGCTGGGAGCCACGCGGGCCTCGCTGCTGGTGCCGGGGGAGAAGGGGAGAAGGCTCACCTGAGGCTGCTGCTTCCTCCTCCACGTAGAGCTCCCCCCGTGAGTATCTCAGGTCCCTCTTCTTGTAATCTTATAAACCTTGATCATGTCACCCCTCAGCCATCATTTCTCCAAACTAAAGAGCCCCAAGCGTTTTAACCTTTCTTCATACGGAAAGTGTTCCAACCCTTTTATCATTCTAGTTGCCCTTTTCTGCACTTTTTCCAATGCTACAATATCCTTTTTGAGGTGTGGTGGCCAGAACTGCATGGTACTCCAAATGAGGTCACACCATTGATTTATAGAGGGGCATTATGATACTGGCTGATTTGTT